AACTTCTGAAGGTCACTCGGGGTGCATATTTTTCGGGCTCCCCCGATTGATTATCACTGTCAGAGTCACAACAAAGGTTTTTACCAAGAAAACCGCAAGAAAATATCAAAATTCGGAAAAGTTCCTATTCTCCATAATTACCAATATCATTTTACAATCAACGACATCGGCATTTATGCCGATGTGTGCACACTCGCAGACAGAAAGGTTGACATACGTGATAAGTTTCGGAACGCAGTCGATCGTGCGAGAGATTATAGCTTTTACTCACGGATATTTACAGTGACGCATTATTAGAGCAAAGGAATGATAAATACAAATATTTATAGAATGATACATACGAGTATTTCGTGCGCGGAAGCTGTCATTTCTAGTGTGATATACTGCGTTTCGAAACTTATCACGTATAGGCAGTCAACCTTTCTGTCTGCAAGTGTACGTCTTTACCGGCGGCGTTGGTGCCCCCTTAAATTTTGCGCCCTGGGCCGGCGCCCCGCTCGCTCCACCCTTATTGCGGCACTGATTCCCACAAACGTTTATGAAGTTGGATGAAGGGTGAAGTGTACAGAAAAAAAGTAAAAACACGAGACATTCAAGTAGTTCAAAGTATCTTGGAAGCAGTGGGGAATGGGACATATATTCATATGAACATTTTTGCTTAAAATGACCGATACTATCACTTCCCAGAATATTGACCTTTCTTCCTGGAACACCCTGTGTATTTATTCACGTTCATGCATATATGAAAAATTTTTTACCAGGTCTTGTAATATTTTCTTCTTTGTCTCCTTTTCTATTATATATTCCACTTCTTATTTATTATATGTATATTGGTATGATAATAAATAGCGTATGTATAATATATAATTAAATATCTAATTATATATTAACAGAATAATGAGACATATCAACCGGTGTAAAGAAAACACACAATTATAAAGAAAAAAAATTTTTATTACTTGTAACAAAATTGTAACGATTTTTTTTAAAACAATTGTGTTTTCTTTACACCGGTTGATTTGTCTCATTATTCTGTTCAAAAAAAGTATTAAGGTAAGATGATAAAAAAACGAATATTTTACAAAATATTTTGTATTATATGTATAATAATTTATGTCAAAATATTGGAACTTTCAAACTTCTTAATAACTCAAAAAGTTCTTAATAAAAAATACTTTATTATAGCGTTTTGGAAAGCTCTCGTGATAAGCTATAAGAATATGCAATAAAAAGTAGGGGGTTCCATTTAAATTATATTTAAAATTTTCAACCCCCCTTTTACCCCCGCGTACCTGGAGAGGGGAAATTGTCGGTATCCATGTCAAAATATAGTTTTTTTGAAAAATCAAAATACGTGTTTTACCGTTTTTTTATATTTTCATTTTTACAAAAAGTATTTAGGGGTTTCCACACTTTTGACAAACCCTGTATAATATGGATATACAGGGTGTCCTGAAATTCGCGAATCAAAATACCATAGCAAGAATGTCGTCGAAAAAATAAATTAAAAAGTTATTTGCCATTTTTCGTTCCGAGCAGTAGTTTTTTTTAAATAAAAAGGTTCAAAACAGGCCAATCATACATTACGGTTGAACGGAAACTGGTTTAATAACTTTTTAATTTATTTTTTCGACGACATTCTTGCTATGGTATTTTGATTCGCGAATTTCAGGACACCCTGTATATTAAGCAACATATGAGATAAAAACAAAAATAATTTACTTATATCAATTAATTTAACGTAGTTAACTTTTAATGGCATATCTTATATATCGTTAAGTTTATTATATGAAACGTGCATACATAAAAAATGTTCTGGCAATCGGATGATTTTAGGACAAGAGTGCCGATGTTGAATCCCACGGAATTACCGCCGACGACTTCGACGCAGGGCAAAACGTACATTTACAGAACTCGAGTTCCACGGAGAGACCCTACAGAATCGACGATGTCGACGTCGTCATCGTCACCGTTGTTGGAGAATAACGTTGGGCGTGCGATAACGAGAAGAAGGGGTGCTGTTAAACATAACAAAGTGCACATTGTGCGGGGCCACAAACTTGTGGCCAAGTTTTTCCGGCAACCGACATTCTGCGCTTTTTGTAAAGACTTTTTGTGGTAATACTCTTTATATATATTTTATGTTCTTTCTATAGATGTTTCGACTTTCATCTTATATGTTTAGATTATCTATTTTCTGCTTAGATTTTCTCTTATCTTATATTTTATGCAATTTCAATCAGACATGACCTTCTCATTAACAAGTCAACGTTCTTTCTTTTAATCGTTAATTTTTTGTTCTAGGGGTTTTGGAAAACAAGGATATCAGTGCCAAGGTACAATATCTATTTAGTTTTTATATTTGTTACTTTTCTGCGTATAACCGTAAAGTTGAATAATTTAACAAGATTTATAAAACGATTTTTTCCGTTATAGCGTGTCAAACGGCAGTGCACAAGAAATGCCATGATAAATTGTTAACTAAATGTCCTGAGAGTGGAAGAGAATCAGAAAATACAATAGTAAGTATCGATGTTTACGATTAGAAGTTAAAAGACAATTTAAAGTAAATTAAATTAAATTTATAATAAAAATTCGTTAATATTAATTACTTTATGATTGTTCTGTGTTATAAGACCGACGAATTGAGTCGGCGCGCAGTTCTATATAGTTTCGAATATTACAGCCACGATAAGTGGCATTTGGAAAAATATCATTAGACTGTTTATTGCGATAAATATTATCACATGCTTCAGTGGTTGAATTAGTGACATCCTCGCCTAATGAGTAGGGAAGTCTAGGTTCAAACGGCTGGCTGAGGTGCAATATTTTTCGCGATAAATTTATAACAAAATTATTTAGGCACTAACACTCTGTCACGGCTCTGAGCCCTTAATTCTTTCGAATTTGTGTTTAATGTATCCGAGCCTTATGTATTCATTAATTATTTTAATTTACAATATGTAAATGTACCGTATAAATACCATATGAATCTTAAGTGATATAATCATTGCTAGGGAGTTCGACAACGGCGATTTTGCTTATTCGGTGTGCTGTCTAAATTATTAAATAGAGGAAAGTCCCCGGATATGAGATACCGAATTCATTGTATGTAATTGAAATACGGAAATTTATAGGCAGAATTAAAAAATGTAACAGCTCATTTTTGAGGGAAATTTAATAAGCTTTGAGTTGCTAAAATGTACAATTTAATTAAATTATTTTTTTGAAAATTTTTTAAGAAAAATATAAAAAAAGAACTTTATGAGAAAAAAAAAGTGTGGTTGTAATATAAAATACTCCGGGAAATCGCTAATAAAGTGCAAATTACATCAGTATTGCAACTAAAAAACCTTATTAAATGTTTCTAAAGTATACAAACGTAATATAGAGAAGCTTATTTGCAATAATTGCAAATCCACTTATACCGATATACTCTAAATGTTATACCCTTCTTCACGGTCAGACTCTACAAAAAATAATAAATGCACAAAAATTGTATGTTTTTAGGGCATTCATAAATATGCTAAATCTGCAATGAGATAACCTATGCTTACTGGAGCATAAATTATTTCATATTAGAAATACCCTGTGTATCTCATATTACTCTCTAAATTATTTGGAGCGGAACCTCACTGTTTTGGAGTGAGATCGCACTCGAAGAAATAATAAAAATACTGCCAGTCCGACTGGGGTGCAATTTCACTTTTTGAAAGAGTGCCGTTATTCACTCTTTACTTGGATTGATTCTTTAACTCTGAAAAGAGTGTTATGTTTTACTTTAATCGATTATTATTAGCAGTATTCGCTTCGTGCGATGATATACTATAGCGGAAAAGTAGGACTTAGGGCGCCCATGGTGGCCGAAGTTTGCATTATTTGCTGGAGTGACAATTATCGAAAAATAGAAAAATTGCGAAAGGAAAATTTAAATTGTTGCGTGTATTCATGTAAAAATGTATTTCACAGATTTAAGATGTCTTTAAGATGACATAACGTTGTCTGGGATTTTACTTAAATTTCATTTAATACTTACATGTAATTGTACCTTGTACGGAGTAGCATTGACAGACGTTTGCGGTATCTCATACTGCATCTTATTAAATGATTTATATTTGCACTGCGCAATTCTTCAACGCGAACTACATGCGATATTGCTAAGGCTTTTCCTTTCGGTATTGCACTCGGATTAAATTTAATGTCATGAGTAATGGGTCCAAATCCCGTTCGTATGATAAGGCTCATTGCAAAAGTTAGAGAAGTTAATCTACACATAATGAAAAATCTATGGCAAATGTTTTGTAATATAACGAAAATTTTTTCATCGAAATTATAAAGAGACCTAAAACTATCAAGATACCTCACGACAGTATACGTAATTTGAATATTAGCAATCATTGACAGCTATTCCAGCAAAATATGTGACATTTCACCAACCGCGGCAGCACTAGTCTCTACGCACACAGCGAATAAAATTCATGGACGAGAGCTTCGCTATTGTTCGTTTACTACTTTACTATAATCATCGCATATAGAGGCTGTATTCTAATATTCACAGCCAGTGCTGAAAATTTATTCTTTATGTGACAGTTTCGCTTATTCTATTGATTGTCGCGGAAGAACCGTCCCGGCCAGTGACGGGGTTTTTTATATGCCGGGCTATCGTGATCATCCTTACGAATTCGGCGGCCATCTAGTGGCGGAATATCATACTTTAAGTTGGAGTAAATTTTGCGAACGACTTTATTTTAAAAATAAGAGTGGAATTTTTCACTTTTTGTCTTAGGGTAAATTAATTCACTCTATTGATTGGAGTAAATGAGTGCGTTCCGGCAAGACACTGCTACCGTAGCGCTACAGCTGTTTTGCTACAATCATAGCAGCGCCATACTTACATTAGCGGTCATAACCTCAAAATTGTATTTTAATTGTAAGAGTCGTGTTTACTAATTATTGAAATGAATAGAATGGAACATATTGACGATTAGCTTATGAATGACATTTTTTGATGATTCATCAGATGAAAGCTACTCGTACAATGAAGAGGAAGTAGTTTTGCTACAGTTGTAGCGGAAAGTTTTGCCGAAACGCACTCGTGTAGCGCTACCGTAGCGCTATAGTAGCAGTGTTTTGCCGGAACGCACTCAATATTCATTCGAATAGAATGAAGTGATCAGTGACACCATGATTCGAGTAAAAATTTTACTCCAAAAATTTTAGAGAGTATATTAGTAGCCTACTTCTTAATAGGGTCTTTCCTCTATTTATTTTGTTACAGTATTTGAGAGAACGTTTCAAGGTAGACGTTCCCCACAGATTTCGCACTCACACATTCATGTCACCAACTTTCTGCGATCATTGTGGCTCGATGTTGTACGGATTGTTTCGACAAGGTTTAAAATGCGACGGTAAGAATGTCGTTCGGGACAGTTTTTAATGAAAATTGCACAATTAAAAGATTTTTATGCATCTTGATAAGTTTAAGTTATTCTATTTGTACGTCGGTGATTTGACACAAACTGATTCAACTTGTGATATACGCGAGCATAGCGTTTAATTAGTGTTTAACATACATACGTCAAAATAATGCAATTACGTAACATGCACCATTACTTGCTTCCGCATATTCTATCTGCTTTACCCTCGTTCACGTATATTCCGTGCATTTTAGCTTTTTTAACATAATCTCATAATAAATATAAGCTTCAAATTCGATCACTAAAAGACTTAAAAATGAATGTTTTATTATAATGTTTATATCATCTTTTTGTGCTTATATTGAAATATTAGGTATAAAAATATATTTATAATATATCAGCATGTAATTTTGTGCTTATATGAAAGTGCTTATATTATACAATATTATATATTTAATATTTTATTAGTAAATATCTGAATGGATGCTTAACAATATTAGCTCGGGTTACCTTTAAATAAATGAGTTTCCTCGAAAAGTAAAGATTTCTCGGTTAATAATTAAACATGATCTTATTACTTTTAGGAAACTACCCGGGAAAAAATTTTCACATATGATCATATATGTATAATCATATATGCTCATATACGAAAAATGTGTATAAGATACCATGTGTATCATATATGATCGTATATGATAATGTGTTTGTCATATATACTGTCATACATGACAAACATGTGTATCATATATGATCGTATATGATAATGTATTTGTCATATATACTGTCATATGTACATATACATACTGTCATATATACTGACATGACAAATACATTATCATATACGATCATATATGATACACATGGTATCTTATATATGGACATTTTTCGTATATGAGCATATATGATTATATATGATCATATGTAAAAATTTTTTCCCGGGTATAATACAAAGTTTTCTTAAAAAATAAATGATTTTGAAACGACTACTTCTTTTTAGGATCATCCATTAGATTATTTATCACTGTAACGGTTAAATGAAATTTAATGTATATACGTGTATATTTATTAATAATAATACTATAATATATATTTTAATTGCAATTGTTTAAATAAAATATTAGAAACTTGATGCGTGTATGTGGATAAAAGTTAAGGAACAAAATAATTACTTGTGAATTGTTTAATACATTTTATTTATTTAATCATATATACATACAGTTCATCTGAATAACCATTTACCTATATGGCAAAGAGGTAAATAACAATATGTAGTAAAAATAATTGGATCCCATATTGAAACAATTTTTTTTACGTAGTTATGTATTGTCTTACTATAATACATTGATCGATTTATCTCATAATTTGGGGCAGAAAGTAAGATTGATATAGGTAAGAAATGGAGCGGAGAGTTTGTGAAAAAAAGAACGAAAAAAGGAAGGAAGGGGAAGGGAGGAAAGAGAGAGAGGGGGAGAAAGGGGGAGAGAGGGGGAGAGGGGGAGAGAGAGAGAGAGAGAGAGAGAAAGAGAGAGAGAGAGAGAGAGAGAGAGAGAGAGAGAGAGAGAGAGAGAGAGAGAGAGAGAGAGAGAGAGAGAGAGAGAGAG